TAGACCGAGCATAGATATCAAATAGTCTTCCTGCCGTGAAGAGAGGTGCCGCCTTACTTTGATAGAGCAAAGTGAAAACTGGCCGAAAAACTTGGCCTTGGCAATCAAAGACACTTAAACTGGAAGGTTGTTTCCAGTTCACAAAAACAACATACAATAAAGTGGGGAGCTGTACTGCCTCACTCCCCCTGCGAGTAACAGGCTCTGTGAACGCAACGTGATAAATACCCATTTTTATAAAAACCTGAGATTGCAATGAAAAAACTAAAAATGCAAAAACTCTTGTATTTTGTTTGGTTACTTATGGTCATGGTTAGGGCTGGGTAGGGGTTAAGGTTGTCATAGTTAGAGTTAGCATTTTCCCCATAGAAATGAATGAGCGGTCCCCAAAAAGATATGTTTACCCAACATGTGTGTGTGTGTGTCTGGTTCCTGCAATGGACGGACATTCCATCCAGTGTGTCTCCTGCCTTGTCATATCTGCTTACTGGGACATTCTCCAGGCTCACTGTGACCCTGTACTGGTTAGATGATTATGCAAGATAGATGGAAACATGTTCTTCATTTAATCATCTTTATTATGAGATATGCTAGAAAGACATTTCCCCTCATTGTCTTACAGAAACCATTTTCCCAGACCAGAAACCACAAATTTCATTCTCACCGATAGGATCGGTGCAACTTTTTTACAAGTTTTTTGACAGGTACTGAAGCTACTCAAATTCCTCCATATCTGAGGCAGCCGGATCAGTGCTTATTGATTAGCAGCGACATTTTGACAACTCTACTGCATTCTCAAACGCATGTTGTCCCAGGACGTCTGTGGTACAGTTGCATCATCACCATTAAGGCCCCATTTCTGTCCCTATTTCAGCAGTAGCGAGGAACAGGAGCGTGTCCTACAGACTCTCACACCAGCGCCAACATCCTCACATGTGCCGTGCAGCCAGCCTTCATCCTGAAGCAACAGCCAACAGCCCATCTGCGGCACCCGGATCGCAGTGTGACATGAGCACACACACACAAGGTAGAGCAAAAAAAAATGACAATAACTAACAAGCCTGTATATTCACTTTGTGACATCATGCTATTTTAATTGCTCCCAAGGTTCATCTGGAACAAGATCGGGGGTTTGGAATAAGATGCCCCATGGGTAATGGGGAAATTACTGCCCCCCTCCCCCCACATAACCGCCATGGAGATAAATGTGACATGATTCAACTTTTCTCTGGAAAGGTCAAGTCAGCAAATCACCTGCCCCCCCCCAGCCCCCCACATAAATGCACGCTGCCGTCCACCAACCCACCAGAAAGACCAGCCAACTTTAGGTAAGGACATTTACTGCAGCAACACAGTAGGTGTAAATCTTTAAACCTGTCCGGACTGTCCTGTGTACTCATTTGCAAACCAAAGGTCACGCCTGCTCTTCGGGGATCGCTGGGGATCCTCTCGCTTGTGTAAATCAGTGGCCAAAGCTTGAAGTGAAAACACAAATCCTGGATCTGTGGTGATTTGAGATCCACGTTACATGTGGTAAACATTTCAGGGGGTATCATACCATGTCATCAGAAAACATTTCGGGTTAACTGTATGTAGCTTGTAAGGTCCATTTATCAGAATTTAGTTTAATTGCTTGACTTAATGCAGCTTTCAGGAAAAAAAAAAATTTGTTAGAAATTTTCTGATAGATATATCGATGAAAGAATTTTATGACTTTAAGATAATCTCTCAGAGACATGAAACATACACTTAGCTTTCATGTCATGTATATGTTAAAGGACCAAACCTCAAAAATGAATCTAATGCAGAGGCTAAACCTGCTGACATGTCACAGGAGGGCGGCCGAGAACACAGCAGCAGAGACCGGAGTGGGCAGAGACTGGAGTGGGCCGCCGCTCGAGGACATTTCGACCAAGCAGACCAACCCCCCCAGGGAAGCAGCAGAGACCATGAAAGGGTGGCAGCAAGAGACAAAAAAAAAACATTTCTTTCTATGCAACCCCCCCATAAATCCTCCCCATGCTGCCTCGGATTCTGCAGTCCTTCCCCTGTAAGCACAGCCCCCCCCCCCAAAGTTCTGTGAAAGTTTGAAATTACACAACACTTCGTACTTGTTACATAAACCCCTTCCAGCAAACTGCAGTGTTCAAATAAAAGTATATAGGAACAACAGCCCAGAGGCAGCGACAGGCCAACTGCAGGCCAAGGCGGATACAGCCACTGGAGTGAACACCGCGGCCACTGGAGTGAACACCGCGGCCACTGGAGTGAACACCGCGGCCACTGGAGTGAACACCGTGGCCACTGGAGTGTACACAGCAACCACTGGAGTGAACACCACAGCTACTGTCCTGGTGATACAGCATCTGAAAGGGCTGGCGTCAGAAGCCCCGCCCACTGGTCTCATGCAGCCCCGACCGCTCAATGGGGACACCAGTGAGCCATTAACAGGCCGGATCCTGCTTACGGAGCGGAAAGGCATAACGCCACTCGCCCATCTTCCTCGGCGGTCCCCCGTGTCTGCATCAGGCTTAGCTTTCACAAAACAGTGCTGTACTTATGTGGAAGAGAAAAAAGGAATCTGGAAATGAAAAAAAGAACAAAAGCAAATCTTATTTTCACCCATATTGTGGACATGGATCAGAGCTAAAATATGAAATGCCAGGGTTGTTTTTTCTCTCTTTTTGCAAAATAAACTTTAAAAAAAGCCATCGGTGCCCCCATTCTCCGTACTTTTACAGCGATTACAGCCTAGTAAAACAGGGTAAACCATGATGGTCCAGAAGGCTCCATATCACTGTACCCTCGATGCATTCTGAGCATTACCATGTTTACAAATCAGTCTTACTACAGCAGCAGTCCAAAAAAAAGAGGGGAATAAGATCAAAGGAGAGGTATGCCCCCCCCCAGCTGTCAGCAGATGCGTGCGGGACACCGGGGGTGACACTGCCCTGCCAGTCACGCTGCTCATGGCCAGAGCAGGAAATGAAATTCCACAGCCACCCACCCCCCCACCCCAGTGCAGCACCGTAAACACAGACCTGCCGTGTCAGCAGTAGCTGGAACCCGATGATTCAATCACCAAGTTTAAAAAAATAAGGGATAAAAAAAAAAAGCAATGAATTTCCCTTCAAGCGAATTTCATTTTTACCCCATCAGGATGAAATTGCTTTTAGATTATTTCATTGGTACATCATTGTAAGGAAGAGGGGAAAAACACTACTCAAAATTACATTTACAGTACCAACTATGTAACAATAAAGGTGAAACTCATTCATAAAAAATTTTTGACACAACAGCACAAAAGCCACAATTCAAATCTTTTAGTGTAATTAGTTATTTTAGCCAAGTCTTCTAGCAAACAGAGTAAATATGACAAATTGTACAATGTAACACACTAATATTCAAGGCAAAAAGGGAATTTGTAAACGTGAAAATATTTCACCATCAGGTAAAAAACAAAAAAATTCTATACTAGCCAATTATGCCCATAGTCTTGACTGAACTGAACTGCTTATGTAAAAGTTTATTTCATGTTGAAGAAACAATAGCATTTGGCATTTATACATTTCACATGATTACCAGAGCTGAACTGAGTCAGTATTGGTTTGGCATCTCTACCCAGAAACTAATAATAGGCTTATTTACAACAGTTTTGTTTTTATGCAAGTTATTTGGTTGTACGGTTTGTGATTCTCTGCCATTCCTATAACATTTACCACATCATTATAACCAAAAATAACAACAGGTCCAAGAAATCCTAAATTGCTGTAATATATGCAGATCATTTGTTGTCCGGTATAGAGATAGAAGATGAAGCACACAGAACAACGCCCTTACATGGGGAGAAGACAGCTTATTGAAATACATGCTTCTTGTCACTATAAATTGTAAATAGTCTATGTGCTAAACATAATGACAATAGGGAGCGGTAGGTGGATTTGTATCATGGTGTTACCTGTATAACTAATGAATGCTCATCTGCAAAGTTCATTTCAAACATGACAGGCATGGCTTTGCTTCTGGCTCCTTATTTATTACAGGATGAAGAAGATGCAATGTAAGAATAAGAAGATAAAAATGTCCCAGTAACCACTTGAATTTTAACGAACAGAAAAGACAAGAAAAGAAAAGAAAAGTAAAAGGAAAACGCAATCTCCCTCTGGTCAACACCGCAGACCTGGGTTTTGGGTTTACAATGGTCCCAGGCTTCCTATAATCCCAATTTTTCTCGGAAAACTGCAGAGTCATTTTATTAAACCTCTGCAGATTTATTTCCTTTAATTTATAGAAATGGGTCTCCCTCCATACCCATCTGCACGGACAGGAAGGATCTGCCCTTAGCTACGGTATCTCCCATGCGACAGTCAGGAGACGCATACTGTCAGGTCTAGGAGGAAATCAGCCAAACAGCTGCACTCATCCCGAACTGGCACATCACAAACATGCATATCGGCAACTGGCGGATATTTTTGAAGCACTTCAGACTCGGGTGGATAAGCTCAAATCAAAGAATTGTTGTCTGTATGTGTAGCCAAATAGGAGAAAATATTTTGTTTAATCGCTTGTTTTTTTTAATTATCAAAACGATTTAACAAATATAATTTCCAATATAACACTTAATTCAAAGATCTCGCAAGACTTGTATGCAAAGAGTATTAAATCCCCTGTAGCAGATACCTCATCGACCGCCGCAGTTCGCAGAGCATGCAGTCCGTGCAGATACATCGGACAAAGTCCGAAAAGTTAAAGTCGCGTTTTCTGCTAGTATTGCGGATTATTGACCCCTAACCCAGCTGTCAAAGCCACTTAACAGCGCTGGTCTGTTTTTTCGAGCGCGCGTGTTGTTTGCGTCCCTGTCACTGCGCGCCCACCCCCTCTTTCTCATCCAACTCAAGCTCCCCTCCCCCGCCAGAACCGGCCCCGCCCCCCGCGCCGCTGTCAGCCAATGGGACAGCGCCGTGCGGAAAGCGGGCCTCGGCCGTCCGTGTGGGGGAGGGTCACGTGTGTACACACATAGTGGGGCTGCGGAGTTCCGCCCAGGAGCTTATTGTAACGCAGCCTGGCGTCTGGTTTTACAGGAACCGCGATCGCCGTTTTACTGGAACGCCGAAAAGTCCCAAAAAGTATGGTCCATCTGGGCCAGGGTTTCGGGCTGACCGGCGTCTCCCGTTTGCGGTTTGCTGGACGCTAACAGGAAATGCGATAGGGTGAGCGACGTGCAACAATTCTAGGGAAATGTCATTGGAGGTTTTAGGAATCCAGCGTCGCTCTGAACATACTGAGAATACGGATCGTTGTTTACCAGGTAGGTTGTTAACTTTATTACTTTTTTTGCACTTGTGTTCCTTCAAAAAATCAAAATTTAAGATTAAACTGTGAACTCTAAGCTGTTATCCCATGAGTTTTACTGCACGAAAAACGTTCTGTTCAGATGGGACAAAGTTGCATCGTTTTCAACAACTTGTAACACTAGACTAGATTGTTCAGCCAAGATGTAATCAGTTACCGAAACTCCAAGCCTGAAGAAACAGGCAGTTTAAGCGCATCGAAATCGCCTTTTTATACGTGACTTGTCTATGAAAATTTATCGATGTGTGGAAGGGTTGCATGCAGTTTTTTTTTTGTGTGTGGTTATAATCGACTTGTAGTTACTCGTGCTGTGGGTGCATTTGGACAGCGGATCAAATCATGGATGGGCGCCGTGTACTGCAACAGTAGCTATACAGGCGTATTATGTTTCATGAGACAGACGGGCTCTCGATCTTCCAAGTGACTTTATAAGCTGGATGTGACACTGCATCGTTGTTAGCGGATGCGCGGAGTTAGTTTAATGCTTAAATATCCTTTAGCGAGGTTTACAGGTGCAATTCTTGTAATAAAAGCTTTTTGTTTGACGTACCTTTGTTTGCATTGGTGCTCCCTTCACGCTTTGGTCAATCACGGGTGAGTTAAATTAGGTTAATTATACAATTAATAAATAAATTAATTACAACATCCGCTTAATATATACAAAGGAGAAATATTTTACTCATTAGTAAACTCCGTTACACGGCATATGAAACAAATTTTATGAGCCTGAAACGTCAGAGAAATGTACTGTTTTATGCCAACACAGAGTTAAAAGCTTTTTGCTTGTTGCTTAACAGATGCTTTTATCAAAAGTGACTTGCACAGCATGCATTTTTTCATGCATCTGTTTACACAGCTGTTTACTGAAGCGCTCCAAGTCAAGTACCTTGGCTTAAGGGTATAACAGCAGGGACCCTTCTGGAACTTGACCCTGCAGTCTTTTGCTTATAGGCTGTGCTTTTGTCCGCTACTTTATATACTGTTTGGATTCAATCATTTTTTTGTGGGGATGTCAAGAGAAACTCCAGATTCTGGAGGAACTCTAAAAGGAAAATCTAGAAGCAAAGCTATAATATATTAAGCTGGCCTTTTCAGAAGTCACACAAATGACAGAGCTCGAGGTCATTCCTGTTTTAATATTTTGAGTTTTTAAAACAAACACTTTCATACGCGGCATTTTAAACGTTTTCCGTGTTACACTAGGCTGTAAAATTAGTTACACATGGTTCTTTGATTTATCAGGGATCTAATGCAATGGCCTCTGAATTACTAATAATACTACAAGTAAAGGGCATCTTTGATTCATTGACCGCATTAGCACCAACAGAATGGTTAGTGTAATTAGAGTAATAATCGTGTTAGCTGAGTGCTTAAGCAGTCAGAGCAGTGTGTGCTCAAACCCCAAAGACCTAAATGCAATCCAGCCCTCCAAGGCCAGTCTGCAGAAACACTGGCACACATTTTACCAGCCTGCATTGTTTAGTTAAATTTACCATTGTTATCACAATATACTAAGGCTAATTAGAGTTTCCAGGATTATTCTAAAATCCTTAGAATATTTTTTTGTGCAATACACACAGTGCAAAAAAGCTTGATAAAGTCTCACAAAACATCCATTTTAGTTTACAAATTATAGTCATTTAGCCACAGTCTGTAATTTCCATTGTATGGTTTCCTCTCATCATTACTCACAAGGGACACTTCCGTGTCTGGAAGGCACTATATAAAGGAGCCATTTAATCATTTTTTAGGGCATGGTCTGTATCAAATATGCAAAGAAACTTATACATTTTATGATTCAGTGCATTTTCACATGTCCTAAGAACATAAGAAATTTACAAACAAGAAGAGGCTATTTGGCCCATCAAGCTCGCTCTGCTGTCTTTAGTCATTTACAGTAGACTGGATAAGTTAATGTAACAAAAGCAATAATTGTATTAATGAATTTTCCGGATGGTTCTGCCAATGCTCTGAACCTCTCAGTTCACTGTGCATTTAAGAGTGCAGGAAGTTCCTTGTTTGAAGAACAGATAATTATGTCCAAGGCAAACAATTACACACAAGTCCGGCTCAAACATTCGTTGCTTCACATGCAGCGTGTCGCTGCTTAGTCTGTCAATATGTTACACGTTCATAGGGGGGTGACAGGGGGGTTTCCTGGTTTCTGATTGAGAGACACGGTCAGACGCGAAGCTGCACTGCGTAGTGTGTGTGTGAGCGTGTGGCTCGCTGCCCGAGCAAAGTGGAGTGGAATGGAGTTTGCTTAGGAGCCAGACAGAACACCTGCCAGGAACAGATAATGTTCCAGGAGCGCTTGCTCCTCCGCCTTACACTGCCTGCCTGTTCTACAAGGCATTTGTGTCAGTAGGGGAAAGTGGGTGAACTACAGCGTCCTGTTCAAGGTTCAGTGACTCAAGGCCCTTCTGTCAACCTCCTTAGATGTTCCTGTTGAACATCAGCGCAGGCATCTGTGAGTGTCCAGAGCTTACATTTCTCTCAGAGCAGGGAAGGGGTCCATCTTACTTTTACCTGGGATCCCCAGATGCATACAGACCAGAGCTGGGGACCTCTTACCACTAATAGCTCTTTTTCAATATTTTTTTTGTTGCGCATCAGGGGAGCATAATAATGCCAGCATTCTGTCAGTTTACACAATGTTTCTGCATATTAGGGTTAAAAACCCCTGTTTTAGTTGTTACCGGGCATTAAAAACAAGCATGGATGCTTAACCTGTATCCTACCAACATATTTAACATACATGGACTACCAACTGGAATAATTTACTGTAAGAAGCAATCAGAAAAATATCAACTTATTTTTTTCTCAAAATATTATTAGTTATGTCATCTAAAGAAAAAGATTATTGCAAAGTTTCAATTTGCATATTTCCATCCATCTGCTTTCTGTAACTGCTTATATGCAGGGTTGCGGTGGAATTATTTGTAAAAACAAAAATCTATACTTTTAATACAACTTGCAGCTTTCATCCCAAGTACAATCCACATTATGACATAAAAGCTTAATCACCCTTTGATTCTATTCTATCACTTTTCAGTTAAGATTAGTGTTGTATCTATATGTTGAAACTACCCAGGGTCATTTTGACCTCAGTATAAAATAATTGAAATAAACACACACTCAAACTTCAGCACTTTTTAATTTTGTTTTGTCTTTCAATACAAAAGCAACTCAACCCACGGTCATTTAGGCTACTTTCACACTGCCATGCTGAAGTGACTCAAATCGGATTTTTTGCCTTAATGTGACACAGATCTGATGTTTTCAGGGCTGTGTGGACACGCAAATCTGATCTTTTCAAATCGGATTTGTGCCAGTTTCATATGTGGTACTAAATCGGATACGTATCCGATTCGTGGCCATGCGACCTGAATGTGACGCTCAGATCGGAATTCATGTGGCTTTCTGCTTGTACGCATGCGCTGACATCAGCCTGTACCGGCAGCGCAGGAAGGTAAAAATGGAGGAGAGCTGTGGTAAGTCAGTGGAAGGATGGAGAAGGTGGGGATTTAATTGATATTTGGGGAAATGAATCTGTTCAAGCTAAACTGGAAGGAACCTATCATAAGAGTAGTATTTGAAGTAATTGCCAAAGAAATGGCACAGCGCGGACACAGACGAACGTGGCTACAATGCCAAAGAAAAATAAAGAGCCTGAAGTCAAAATTTAAAGAGGCAAAAGACTCGAATCAGCGCAGCGGTCATGGCCGCACAACGTGCCAATTTTACGACCAACTTTTTACCCGTCTAAAAACGTATCAATGTGCGCATGCGTGATGTTTCGGAGGACCGATGCCTTCACATTACAGTCAGATACAGGTCACTTGTACTTATGAATGTGAACCATCAAGATAGACAAATTTCGATCTGAGCAAAAAATCGGAATTGAACGATGTGGCTGGCAGTGTGAACGTAGCCTTGGACTCCCATTGTCAATCCCATTGCCTTTTTAATCTTTCAACAGAAAATTAAACTCAGTCATTCAAACTTCTACACTGTGAAATGTTATTTTGCCTTATTTTGTCTTTCAGTACAGGAGCAACTAAACCTGACGTCATTAAATCAACACTTAATTTTATTTTGTCTTTTGATGTGAAACAACTAAAAACAACTAAAACCAAACACACACTACAGGCAGTTGTGGCATGTAATCTGCATCATGCTATGCTCAGGGCATGTTGGCTTGTGACAGGAGTCGCAAAAAGTCGATACCTTCCTGTCTTTGACTCGGGAACAAAAGTAGCACCTTTTTCGAGAGGAGTGTGCGGCAGGTTTACTTTGCGCCTCTCCCAGGGGGGTCACTGCTCCTTGGATTTGGCCTTGCAATGCAGTAACTTCACCAACACCAAATCTGGTCAGTTTTGATCTGCTTGCCATTTTTGCCTAAAAAAACAAATGCTGGTGTTATCAAAAACTACATTATATAGTTATATTCTAGATTTAATTTAGCCAACACATGTTGGACCTGCACACTCACTACCCTGATGATGCTCCGACTGCTTGGCCTTCATTGAAGGGCAGTATCTCAGGTTATTGACAGAGCATGTGCGGACGTTTCTGGCTGATGCATCTGTGTCACTCTTCTTCAAAATGACTGACAGTGCCTGTACCCCCCTTGACACTGAGTGATACTTTAAATTAGGATCCATTTCAAACATTAACTGAGTAAATATTCCGTTTATTAAAATGGCGGAATTGGGTGCTTTTGACTGGAGTGGCCAGGGACCCCAAAACATTTGTATTTTTAAAAAGCACCAATCAAAGCAGAAATAGAAATCAAAAATGTGACATGATTAGGAACAAACTGACCCCAACTTGGTAGGGTGAGGGTTAAAATTGCAAAGCTAGCTAAGGTTTTTTTTCCTATGACAGTAAAAATGTTTAAGGAAAAAAGAAACTCCTTGCGCTGTAGTTATGTACGGAATTTAAAGTTAGAGAAAATTCATAATCTTAATCTGGTTTACTAGCAATGTAGGAATTGCACATTTTTTTTCATCAAAATTCCAGTGTTTCAATATTCATCTAGCCCAAAATTTCCAATGAAATCTGGGGAATATTCCACCTGATGGTGGCCACGTGAACAGAAACTATAATATCGAGTGACTGTGTGCAGAAGTGGCTGATGAAAAGCAGAGGGAAATACAGCCTACTGACAGCTTTCTGTGTGACTCTGCCAACAGCAACACGGGCCTTTGGGGACAGGACTGAGGCAGAGGCTTTGCACAGATAAGCTCCATGTCCGTGAGGCTCCCCAGCAGTGGGAGCAAAGGGCCGCTGTGCACAGGCCCTCTGTGTCCATGAACGCAGATCATCATCTAACGCGTCCTAGGATTCGTCATCCTGCAGAAACTTGTAGTTACATAGGACAAGCGGTTTCAGAAAATGGATGGATGGATGGAAAGTGTGATTGTTAGTTTCAGATTTGGATAAGAAAAGGGCATGTGTGACTCTCAGACACTTGCTGTCTTCACACAAAAAGCAGAAATGAGGCGAAACTACACCCCTTCCTTAGGGTGTGTGTGTGTCATTCTCTCTCTCCAATGACCCCGATAGCATACCCATGGACCAAGACTCTTGTTTGTAATGGTAGCTTACATAAGCACATCTACAGAGACTTTAAGTGACCAGTTAACAACTCTCAAAAAAAACAACTGGCCCCCGCCTGTTTATATAGCGACCTGGTCGGCTCTGGCGAAACAGTACCAGGCATCTGATGCCACGCAGAGCAATTGGGAATTTTTCAGACTTCTGTTTAAGTTTGCGGCTGCGTGGGTAATTCCTGGCCAATAAACAGTTCTGCAAACGCCTTAGTTCCACTGACCTGGCTTTTGATAAGCCAAACATCATGGATAATGGCGTACGAGTCTGGGCCAGCCATCTGAATGACGATAATGGGGCTTGAGCCTGCGTTACATAACTGTCTCCTAATGAGCTAAATCGGACGGCTTATCCGGGGAAGGGGGTGTGCCCCACCCCGCCCCCTCCGCTGTCCCCCAGGGTGCTCAGCTTTGCTCCCCTGCTATAAATCTACACATCACAGCCAACCACCCCATCCCATCCCTGCTGTTAGAGAAAATGGGGGGTGTTCTGGGGGGAGGGGGGAACTAATGTTTGCTGCTTTTGGGGTTAAGGGGAGGGCAAGTGCACCCGACCGCATGATGTTTTTAAAAATAAAAGGCAGTAACCACACAAAACGCATGAAACACCTATAGTGCAAAGCTGGGGAAGCACAGCTGGGTGAGGAGGTGGGTGAGGAGCTGGGTGAGGAGGTGGGTGAGGAGCCCTCTGTCTGCCAAAACACTGCCACTGACTGATCTTGCTAAATGTACTTGTAGGTAAGTGGTACTGGGTTTTCCAGGCAGGCTTCAAATTAACTTTGAATGTAATATTCTTGGCTGTATGTTAATAGTTATTATTTGGGTTGTAAGTAGGCGTGTGCAATATGACCTAAAATTATTATGGTATTTTTCACTTTTTGGACGGTAACGGTATTATATCATGGTATTAGTGTTGGGAGGATTAGTATGTCCTGTCCCTTTATATAAATTAAAAGAAATATTTTATATGTTAAGTACACAAATTGCTAATTTATGCGTTAATTACAGTTGGGTATGGGTGGTTTTATTTCAAAAAGATATGAAAAGTGACAGGTAATGTTTTGTCATTTGTTTTAATTGTCGGAGTAACAGCGTAAAGGGAATGACGAGCCGTTTCAGTTGGAAAAAAGTGCATTTTACTTTTCATTTCAAATAAAACGCAGGGTTGCAAACTTTGGTCAGCTGGCTGGAGTGAGTTTTTTTCTTACCTTGTAAATGGTCTGTAGGGTTTGCAAACTACCCCAACGCTTTGGATGTAGCTAATTTTAGGTTTATAATGGAATAACAGATTTGCTGTAAGATTTCTTGCGTGAGCGTTGGCAACCCTGGAAATGTATATATTTTTTTGTTTCACCTGAGCTGATTTGTATAAAAAATTACTTTATACAGTTGTTAAACAACATAAACTTTGGTGAACATGAAGTTACCAATAAACTGTGTTTATCCAACATTTTATGAAATACATACAGCATTTGAAAACTTTTACGCCTGACGAACATTAGGAACATTACAGCTTTTTGGTATAGTGTGAGATTCGCTGCTGTTATTAACACTAATGGCACATTAGCGCAAACAAAATGACTGCATATACCAAAGTATGTTTTGTTTGGAGGTTAAAGTAGTTTGATGTTCATTGGTGTGGGAAATGTGCAGTTCCAGAGTTAGTTGGGTAGTTGTGCCTTTTACCAGGCACCTTGTATGAAGGCAGCGGTGCCTATATATGCTAATTTAGCGAACATGTTTTACTTTTTAATTTGCTACTGTGTATGTAACCAGGTTAATTTCTCTTTGGATTTTGCCCCCTAGTGGTTCGGATGCATGCGTCCGAGTTTTTACTAACAGAAAAAAACGACGTTCAATAACCGAAACAAATGTATCAAATTAACCAAAAACAGCTTGTTATACTACAAAAAAACTTTCAAACAATATATGTATAAAGTTGCACAATTTCGTGCCACTATTTTTTTTTTGTAAGTAAAAATAAAATGACCATGGGTGACCATATTTAAATAGGTTGAGTGTCCGTAAGTGAATTAAATGTTAATAAAATTAAAAACTAAGCGCTTCAAGCTCTTTCTTTCACCACCAACAATTCAAAACACACATTTTCCCATAAAAATCACTGTCATACTCTCAAACAGCTTGCTCAATCATAGCAGAAAGTCGGCATTCTGTAAACTCGTGCTATGTTTTTCCATCTCCGGAATTTTTTCATAAAACCATTGAATAAAAAGTTACCCTTGTTTGAAAGCTTGATCTCTTATGTGCATGAATCAATCACTGTCATTCTTCATTGTCAAGCGTTTTTTGAAATATATGCTCTGCTTCCTCAAACACCAAATTTCAGTGCCAACTGTTTTGTCCAATAGAGGTGCGTCTAAAGTTTGCATAATGGTATGGAATGTGTTGATTGGGCATTGTTTTTCGCGCTGGAGACATAAATGCATTGCACAGTGAGTCTCGGTGAGTTTTCCCAGTTATTTTTGCACAACTTTTTTAAGTGGAGAAAAATGGCTTGGAACATGTTCAGTGTTGAGGAAGCACAGAGGATGATTTTGGAGAGTGATTCGGGGGAAGAAAGCGAGGCATCCATCACCTTTGATTTGATGGAGGACGACACTTTTTTCCCCACAGAGAGGATGCAACCCTCGACATGTAAGTGCTTTTGTTTACTGTTCACATATTTTATTCTTTTCTCCTTTGTTTTTTCTATAGATTTTTACAATTCTTGTAATTCAGCAATTCACTATGAACATTTGCTTTGGTGGTACATTGGGCAGTATAGCCGCGCAGTGCCCTTGTCGAGCTTTGCTTGGGCAGTATAGCCGCGCAGTGCCCTTGTCGAGCTTTGCTTGGGCAGTATAGCCGCGCAGTGCCCTTGTCGAGCTTTGCTTGGGCAGTATAGCCGCGCAGTGCCAGAGTAAATGTACACGTTTTTGTGCCTAGCTCAAATGTTTTTCTTTTTCTTTATTGCACATGAGCGATCCAGAAGCTGATGTCACCAGCAACAGGCTGAATGGGACTCCTGGCTATGACCCCCTGTTCAGATTAAAGCCCCTGCATGATGACATCACATCACGTAAAGCACGCTACCACCCACATCAGAAAATCACCACTAATGAGGGCACGGTTGCTTCCAAAGGTAGACACAGGATGAAGCAGTACATGAAGGACAAGCCAAGACAATGGGGCTTCACGCTGTTCACTCTGGCAGACAGTCTGACAGGGTACACATTCTACAGCAGCATGTAGCAGGGGAAAGTACTCGCACCTAGTGGGAAAGGGCTGAGTTTTGATGCTGTGGTCAACCTCCTTCCTGTGTCCTTTCTGGGAACTGGATATAGACTCTGTGTAGACAATTTCTATACCATCACGGCTATCTTCACCCATGTCTACTCTCAGAACACTGCGGCCTGTGGCACGATCGGGAAAAATAGGATTGGCTTCCCTAAAACCAGGGTAAATGGTCTACCAAAGGAGGCTCCGCGAGGGGACGTCAGGTGCATTACGGAAGGTCCTCTCTTGTATGTGAAATGGAAGGACACAAGGGAAGTTACCATGTGTTCTTCCCTCCACAAGGCTTTCAGTAGACATCGGGTTTCACGCCGTATGAAGGTAGCTGATGGGTGGAGACGGCAATATGCGCCAGTACCTGATGCAGTGTTGGACTATAATACATACATGGGAGTGCCCTCATAAAGCTCTACACTGTGTCAACAAAGACTACAAAATGGTATAAGAAGTTCTTCTACCACTTTGTGGATATTGCGGTGGTGAACAGCTTCATCATCCATATAGCCATCGCCAGGGAGAAGAAGCAGAGGCCTCTCCCACAAACGCTTCCGGGAGATTCTATCTGAGCTGGAGGGGACACAGCAGCAGTGGTGCGTCCCAGTGGCTGTCACAGACACTTCAGCTGTGGACTCCAGGCTGAAGGCCACACAGGGCAGGAAGTACTGTGTGCACTGCCACTCCAAGAAGCTAAGCAATAAGACAATCTACAAATGTTTAGCGTGCAATGTGCCACTCTGCAAAATTGCGGACCGAATCTGTTGCACAGAGTGGGATTTAAAGAAAGACACAGAGGGAGGGGCAACGCAATTTGAAATTTTTTGTGGTGTTTTGTGTGTGAATAAAATACAGGTTTTTCTCAGAATGCGTGGTCACGTTATGTGAGAAAATGTTTCTTATGAGCCATAAGTGGTAATGCATTTAGGACAAAATGGCTATCCCAACAAGCACCACTAGTCACACTTTAGCCATTTTGCTCTTTCCTCAGTAAAACCTAATGGGAGTCTGGGTGCAATGATTGGGTGCACATGTAGAAAACAAGTTTGAGAACCACATATTTAAAATTGGACCTAATCCACCATGTAGTTTATGAAATTTCCAAAATACAGATAGGTATTTTTATTTTTGCATGTCCATAAATTATACACAGGTTATTAATTTGTTATTCAACTGAACATGAACCCCTGAAGTCCATAGGGTACTAATGTGCACAATTACACAATCTGTTTATTTTGGAATTTGTTCATTTGCTATCGCGACATCCCGTCAGTGTATAGTAAAAAAAAAAAAAAAAAAATCGCACAACGCAAATAAACCTCTTACATAGAATATATAAGGATGAGTACTCATCATTCAACTGAAGCTTTGAAGAAGATTAAATGCTTTCTTATTTATAAATAGGCTGTTGCATAATTAGGCTGTAGACTTCTCACAGTGTTACCAGTATTGTGCAAATTGAGGCGCACAATCACACTGGTAATGATTATGACACCAGTATACCGCCCACCCCTAGTACAAGATCGACTAAATTAAGTCACACAGATACATTCATACACAAAAGTAAGCAAGCAAGGATTCTAGATAAACTAAATGTTAATCGATAATGTCTTTATGCTTATAAAAATAAACAAACCCAGTAGAACATGGGTAAAATACATCCATATAAGAATAGAGCCCTTAAACGATGTCATTTTCCTCTCTGCCCAGCAGAACCAGTGAAAAGGAGGCGCAGCCAGCAGAACCATCGCGATGTGGAGCTGCATCGCCTACAACGAGACGGATGACGGTTTGGACCAGCAGCTCTGCCGGGACTTTGAGCTCATCCTGTCTGTGCTTTCCCTCATCTACCTCATCTTCTGCTTCCCCGTGGGGCTCTGCTACAATGCGCTCCTGGTGGTGGTCAACCTCTCCAACAAGGGCTCCATGACCATGCCAGATGTCTACTTCGTTAACATTGCCATCGCCGGCCTGGTGCTCAACGTGGTAGCCCCGGTGGAGCTGCTGGGGCCCAGCTTCACCATGTGGCCCATGTGGGACTACAACAACGAGGTCTACATCACCCTGCTGATCCTCTTCAACATCTCCTCGCTGGTGATCATGTACTCCACCACTCTGCTGAGCCTGGATTACTACATTGAATGCGCCCTGCCGCGTACCTACATGTCCAGCGTCTACAACACCAAGCACGTGTGTGGCTTCATCTGGGGTGGCGCCGTGCTCACCAGCTTTTCCTCCCTGCTTTTCTACGTGTGCAACCACGTGTCCACAAAGATCATCGAGTGCTCCAAGATGCAGAACAAGGAGGCGGCGGACGCCATCATGATCCTCATCGGCTACGTGGTGCCTGCTGTCGCTGTGCTCTACGCTTTCACGCTCATCCTGCGCATCAGAAAGGAGGCCACGCCTTTGGACCAGGATCTGGGGAGGTTGGACCCTTCCATCCACCGGATGCTGCTGGTGTGCGTCTGCGTGCAGTTTGCACTCTGGACGCCATGCTACGCAGTGCTGCTGGTGCACACGCTGCTGGGCGAGCGTGGCATCTACCTGCAGTGGCCGCAGGCGGTGGCCTATGAGTTCCTGCGCTGCCTCAGCGAACTGCTCGCCTTCTCCAGCACCTTCATCACGCCGCTTATGTACCGGCGCATGAACGAGAACTTTGCCCACAAAGTGCAGCGCCTCCTCAAGAGGCTGCACTGCGGGGGCCGGGGCTGCGCCCACGAGCATTCCGAGGTGCAGCAGGTGCTCACGTGAGGAGCGGCTATCCCGGAGTCACCCTTAAGCAGCTCCTGCCATCAGGAGCGTCTCACTCGTGCCAAAAACATGAAGAATATCATTGCATTATCTAGCCAATCATGCCACGAGTTCAAGGCTAATCAGTAACCACTAAGTCCTGCTTCTGAGTTCACATAAGCTATCGTCTGTCGATCGTCGCTTCTAATGTTTTCTGATGCTGGGTTGCCCCCCCCCTCCGATAATCACATCACAGGACGAGCTTTGTCATAGCATCGTCACAGGGACGTACAAGACACATACCTCAGCTTCTCCACAAAGGGCATTAAAGTGAGACTGACGGCCTGCAACACCTCAAACCCCAGAGCTTTCCTAGTAGGCACTCCGGCCACCAGGGGGCACCCACAGTCCCCTTATTTGGTTGAGGGTGTTGCTGCCCCCATGCAAGCATGGTGCCGCATCGCATTTGCTGCTGCAGAGCATAGAGGAAGTGAGCATAGAGCATAGCTGCTTCCTGTTTAAGATTGACGACTGTGCACCTCGCATCCACATCTGCAACCTGGCTCCTACATGTCACCACTTCATTTATTATATAGAATATATATATTTTTGGTGATCTGTGGATTGGATCTCTGTTTAACACTATGGGTTTGCAAGCTCCATTGATTACATTGTACAACTTTGATGATACAAAATTTTGATGATTTGGGTGTAAGATAAACACACAAGTAAAATATTCCAAAAAAAAATACACACACAACACACAACACTGTCGGATGTGCATCTCATGATACAATCATCACAGAGAGCTGCATGTTAATCTAAGTATTTAAAAAAAAAAAATTTTTAAAAAAAGGAAAACGACACGCCGGGGGGGCGTCACAGCTACGTCTGTATGATTTCACAAAGGCACCCATCCGGTCTCTTTCATTCACTTCTCCCTCATCTTCACATTTATTTACATTTATATATTTATGAGCCAAACTTACATGTTTATCAAAATAACTATATTTTTGTAGGTGAAAAATTACCGTATGTGTATGGAAGGAAAAAAAATGCTTTGGTCCCACATATGTAAGAAAATGTATTTAATTTTTATCAAGATGAGCATATAGGTTACAGGGCCTAGAAGAAATGTAATTATGGTGTAACACTTGTGTGTATGTATATATAAATATAAAAATGTCTGTATATGTTGTTCAGTATTACAGAGACTTCATGCAGAAACACGAGCGGATCCACAGTATTCTCTCACAGTGGTACCCAGACACATTGCTGTCTTCCAGCCCTGTTGCGCTTGGCTGAGTTCTGGACTGTAAAATGAAACGATCCAGCAGGAACATCAGCCACCGTGAAAAGCCTTTCAGTTGCCCCTCCCACTGCTCCCTGTTCCCACCCTCAGGACCATCTGTATACTACTGCACATTAAATCAACCCCAACGATGTGTGGAAGTACTTTTTTCCCCCCCACTGAATCATATAATTATTGAACACTGCTGTCCGGTAACTCATAATGCACAAATCAAAGGGGGGTGAAGTTTCCTTTTATCTTCAAAAAGAAGCCAATCAGCGGGCTTGTAAATTAACACTGTCAGTGTGCATAGGTATTCCTGCAAGTAACACATGGCTTTCAACTCAAAATAGTTCAGAATGCTTTCTGTCCCAGTATCTTGTATCACATGACAAGCAGCACCATAGACTTCCTGTTTGGCCATCTTCTCCTGCCGTTTTGCGGCAGGGGGTCAACAACTCCTGAGCCATCTGCGGACAGTGGGTGGGAGCAAGCCCCCCCCTGGTCAAAGCCAATTCTCTTTGAAATGTTCGCTTTAATGTTCCCGGGAAAAGGCCCAGTGGGCTTTGTGAGAATGACTCTTACTGTAATGCCTCTCAAACAGTAGAAGGGAGTTTTACCCTTAGAAAGCAGGCCAGTGAAAGGGAGCATGGAATAGATTTGCTTTGTCCATGTGGTCCACTGGATCAGTGAAATAAAAACAAATGCACGTGGACCTCTAGGGTCTCTTGCTTCTTATCCGCCATTAAAAAGAAACAAAAAAATATAATGCTGCCATATTCAGTCAAAATGTGTGGAAGCCAAATGTCTATAGATCTTGGATTTCATGTCTTAAAAATTGTTTTTAAA